TCAGAGGGTGGCTCTGGGGTCAATGAAGAATTTTTGGAGGCATGGTCACACAAAAGTCCTTGAGAAACAAATTCCTCACATGGCCTATGGTATTCTCTTTCCCACTAAGTCTGCTGCACTCCAGCTCTCAACAGGAAATTGGTTTTATTTATAAGAATCACAATCCTAAACTGACCTTTGCTGGGCTACCCACCCACATTCCCTCCCTCCCCTCACTCTCCTCCCCAAGACACATCCTCCCTCCACAGTTTCCTCAGTGACCACAGAACTAGCATCGAAGAGCCATTGGGAAGTCAGATAGAGGAACACTACGAAGACTGGAGGTTATTTTCCAGATGGGGAAACTGAGGCCTGGAGAGCTCAGCAATTTGCCCAAGGAAATGGAACCCATGGGTCTCCAGGTTCCTGAGCCGCTACTTTCCATTGCACCATGGCTGCCTTCGTGTCTCAGTCAGGGCTCTGCACAGAACAAGCCATTCTCCCTTAGCTTGGGGAAAGTCTCTCTTCTCTGAATGATAGAAGCCTTTAAAGAAACATTTCCCGTTATTAAAGGGAATTGGAAGGAAACTAGCACAGCTTCCTCAGCTTTGAAGCTCTTTGGCCCTTCCCGGCCCTTTAATTGTGCTGGAACCAGCCCAGCTCCCAGAGCTCCCACCCCTCAGATGAGAGGAAGGGCCCAAAGCAGAATTGGCCTTTCAGCACCAAAAGTGACCTCTCAGAATTTCTGTTTCAGACCATTTCATTGCCACATCATCCAAGGCTCCCACGCAACTTCAAAGTCAGGGAGCTCAGGGTCAAGTACAAGGAGCAAACCCTGAGCTTAGGATTTTAAGCACCACATTTGAGATCGTTTTTAAGCAACATTCCCATAGCCTTTTAAAGCCTCTAATAGCTGAAGGTGATTACAGCAGATTTCTGCAGGTATTACAAGATTTGGTTAAGGCACATCATGTGGGTATGGGGAAGGGGGCTATCCCTTTCACCCCACACTTGCTCTTACTTTTCCAGGTAAGGAAAGTGTATATACAATTACTGATCTTTTTGCTATTTTGACATTTCATTTTTTTAAAAAAGGAAACTTGGTTCCCAACTTTGGCTGCACATTGGAATCACCTGAAGACCTTTAAAAAATACAATGCCCAAGCTGTGCCCTAGACCAGTTCAATCAGAATGTCTTGGGTGGGGCCTTTACATCCATATTTTTGAAACCTCTGCAGATGATTCCAGGCACAGCAAAGGTTTAGAACTGCTGCCTTAGGTAGAACTTAGGTAGGAAAAAACTCTGAGTTTGTAGGCATTAACGATTCCTGAAGGTAGCATGCCCATCTCTTTTAACTTGCTTTTCTTTTTCAGACCTTCCCTCACCACAGATCTCAGGATTCCCATACAAGCTTTGAAGTATTTTACTGGCTTCTTTGTAGTTCATATTTTCCTCCAGTGCCCTACAGCTAAGTGGGGGGACTGGATGATCAGATTCAGAAACAAAAGAACACAGACAAAGAACGATTACACTTTGAACCAATTACTGTGATCAAAATTGAAGCTGAATATCTCAACCAGGCCCATCTGTAGCCAAGTGTGATGCAATTTCAGGAAGCTTCGGCATGGATGTTCCAAGCACAATCCACAGATAGTAGGTCAGTCACATTTGGCCCAGACTCACTCACCAGCTGGGAGAGCAGTTAGAACCAGAATGCGTGACCACACTGGATGAGTTCAGCCAATGGGCTCATGCACAGCAATAAAAGGATGCCCTTATGAGAGTCATAAATATGTAAACACGTAAGGATGGGAACCTTCTCAAAGCACCCTGTAGGACTTGGCCCCACATCCTGACATTTGCAAGAGTCTTACTGCTTATACAACACCAAAGAGATTCACATACAAGACACAGCCACTTTACCATCGCTATTTATGGCAACTCTCATAAAAGCACCATCTCTCTAGGAAGGGATTCCCACATACTCCATGATCCCTTATTTTTGCTTGGGCGAGCCATGGCTATCTAGCAGAAATCTTGGAAGAGACAGGGAAGAAAGTCTGGAAGTGTCTCTGCATTAGACATAGGGTGATATTCCAACCACCCGTCAGCTCCAGACCTCTCTTTCATCCTGCAAGACAATGGAAAATCCACTCAGAGCCTAAAAATGAAAGGATATTTTTGGAGGATGTACAATATATAACAAGCAGGCTAAGGAACATGGCAAGACAATTTCTCCTACATGAACTGCTTTATAAGATTTGCATATTAGAGAAAACATTTTGAGACTCTGAAGACAGCCACAAGGCATTTCCACCTACCTAGGAGAGGGAGAGCTCAAAATTGGAAATATAGAAACAGAATGAAGAGGCATTTAAATAACACATTTAAAAAGTGTCACACATAATAAGAATTTTTCTTTACAGTTTTTACTTAGGCTCTAAGAGCCCAAGTAAATAAACCTTGCTTTTTCTATTTAACTTTGTTGTTTAAACCGCTATACCTAGTTATTCTAATAACTTTAAAAAAGTGCCCCTATCTTCCACAAGCCAGACTATTGATTCTAGTCAATTACACTGACTAGACACCCCAGCTTTGCAAGTCAGGGAGTTAGAAGGCACCCCAGAGGCCAACACTTCCTGTCAGACTCAACTCAAGGCCTGAATTCCCAGAGAGGGTCCCTCCCAATGGGCTGAGGGTCCTCAGTCAGGGAGGGAGTGCAAAGGGCCCTGTTACCAGGAGCTGGACTGTGGCTTCCTCAAGTGTCTGAGACAGCGTAAGTGCGCATTCAGTCATTCAAGCACAAAACTGACATGATCCCAGCAGAGATGGGCTTCATTTTGCACAGACGAACTTTTCCATTTAAAGGGTGTTCAAAGTGCAACTCATCTGCCTCTCAGGGAAATGGGGAATTCTATATCCTGGAGCTGCAGGAATCCCCAAATTCCTCAGTGAAAGGTGTAGTAAACATATTAGCAGCATGACACGAGTGAGACAAAATAAAGATGTTTCTCATGAATCAAACACCGGAATTTGAGTTGGATTAGCCTCTGAAACACAGGTAATTCTCAAGTTTACCCACTTACCACTCTGTGTCTGATTTACTGCAAAATGATGAGGCAGACACATGTGTTACCAAAAACATAAACACCCTGAACTGGAAACTAAGTTTCTTTCAGTTGGCAAAAAGCCCCTAACTGATCCTCTTCCAGGATGGGAGGATTTAAAGCTCCTGAGAGAGAAAGATAACTAAGAAGACTTTCATCAGGTCAAGGGCCAAGTCAAAAGCTGTCAGTACAAAAGCCTTCTGAGAACAACTGGACATTTGGGAAGAAGACCCCAAGTGTGATCTGCCCTGATTTAGAGAGATTAATATGCTGATTTGAGAAAGTAGCTTGCAACCTACAGCTAACACCACCCCCCCACACACACACATACCCTAGCTTTGCAAGTCAGGGAGCTGGAAGGCACCCCAGAGGCCAACACTTCCGGTAGGCTCAACTCAAGGCCTGAATTCCCAGAGAGGGTCCCTCCCAAAGGGCGGAGGGCCCCCGGTGGAGGAGGGAGTGCAAATTGCCCTGTTACCAGGAGCTGCACTGTGGCTTCCTCAAGTGCCCCAGACAGCGTAAGTGCGCATTCAGTCATTCAAGCACAAAACTGACGTGATCCCAGCAGAATTTGAGACCAAGAAAATCACTGGGTTAGAAATTCGAGAGAGGCTTCAGGAAGGGTTCGCAGAAAGAAATCAAAGGTGGCCAACTCCTCTGACCCTGTCCCCCTCCTCAACCCCCCCCCCCCCCCCCCCCCCCCCCCGCGGGCTCCCTGCTGTCAGCAAAGCCCCTTCCTGAATCTGTGAAGCTCCGCCTGGGACTTGGATCTTTCGTCTTCAACAGTAACCGGGCGACCCAGATGAGGAAAGGCAATAGGAAAGTGAAAGACGGGACTACTGCCGGGAATGAGGCCGGTCCCAACAGGTCCCTTTATGTCAGTTGCAGGGATCAGGGCCCGCCGGGAGTGAGATTCCTTGGGAATCTGAGCGTTCTCTTTTTATTACTCTCTCCCAGGGGAAAACAAATATAGAAGCAGCATTTCCTCTCGCAGGTTTGGCGGAGACCGCTCCAGCACCAGAGAAGGCAAGAGGCTTTTCTAAAGGGAAGGGGTCTGCGGGGGAGGGAGGAGCGGGGAGCGCCCGCACTCCCTGTACTCCCTTTTCAAAAGAACGGCAATGGAGACTTGTAGGCCAGCTCCCAGCCTCCAAGTGCGGGTGCTAAGCTGAGCACTGGGGGCATCCGGGACGGCCCGCCCACCAGGGTTTGGAGGAGATCCTGGCCACCGCCAAACCCAAAGCTCGCCCAGCTGCGCACTGAGCTAAGCCCAGCAGCCGGGACGCCTCCAGGAGCTCCACCTGCCGGGCACTCCATTCGGCCCCCAACCCTCGCATCTCTCCTTTCTTAGGGTGGGGGAGCAGAGAAGGGGTTGGAGAGAAACGGCGACCCGAAGTGCTGGACGTTTGGGGAGACCCGACCTAGCCCGGAGCGGGTCTGCGCGTCCACTCTACTGTCCAAGCGCTTTGCCCAGAGCAGGAAGTCCCCAGCCCGGCGGGCGCCCGGGCGAAAGGACCCAACAGCCCGCCCCTTTGCCCCCAGCAGCTCGGCACGGTTCCCACGTTCTTCGGGGGCTCCTCGGCCCCAGGCATCTCTCCCGCGCGGCGGGACTGAGGGTGGAGTGCGGCGCCGGGCGCACCCCCTCTCCTGCAACAGGTGAGAAGCCCCGCCACGCCCCCCCACTGACGACCCCCCCCTTCAGCGCCCGGGAGGATCAAAGGGCTCGGGCCGCGGCCACCACCTAGGAGCCCACCCGCCTGTTCTTCGGTGCTACTGTCGCCCCCTCCTCCGCCCAGGTCCCGGCTGGGCCAACTCTGCTCATCCCGAGTCCGAGCCAGACCAGCCCTAGCCCTGCCCTCCGCGGTGCTGGGCGAAAGGGAACGGGTGCGCGCCGCGCGGGGACCCGGTGCACTCACCTTTGTACCGCTCCATCGGAGCCACGGAGTGCGCTCCTCGCCGCTCGGCTCCGGCGCTGCTCTCCCGGCTGTCGGCTCCGCGCCCAGGCCGCCGCGCTGGCCCCTCCCCCGTGAGGTCACGCTCGCGGCCGGACCTCCTGGCCGGGCCGCCGCGCCCCGGGTCTTGGGACAAGGCCCCTGCCAGGGCGCGCCCCACACGCCTCTGTCCCGGCGCTGGAGAACTCCGGCCCGCTGGGGCTGACCGTCGGCGCTGGAGTCGGTGGGCACCCTCGGCCCCGCTCGCCGCCCCCGGCCGCCTGGCACTCCCTTCACGTTCCTGCTCCGGGGGCGGCGGGAGGGAGTGAGACTGGGACGTTCCCAAACTCTGGGGGAGGCTCCGGGGGGCCGGGCTTGGGTGGGACTCCAAGACTGTCCGCCCCCGCCAACCCCACCCCTCCACCCCGCTGCAAACCCAATGCCTGGAGGGGGAGACTCAGGTCCCAGCTAGGAGGTCCAGACTGGCTTAGAGCGCCTCCCGCTTGACTCCCGAGCCAGCGCGCTTTGGCCCTAAGCCTTCCTGGAGGGGCGACTAAGGTAGGGGTGGGGGCAACCAAGCCTGCTCCGTGTTCCTCGGGGATTACTCCCACTCTCTGGGAACCTCTCTGGGCAGCCGCTGCCGATCGCGCACACTTTAGGGTGTGTGAAAAAATCCACTTGCTGCCTTCTACCAATATTTCCAGGGCCAACGCCACAAGTTGGGGAGCGCCGTTTCCAGGGTGCCCAGGTAACCTGACTGCCTTGGAGGGGTGGCGCCTGTTCCAGAAGGAAGCTCGACGGTGACTCTGACTCTCCATCCTGCACTGCCTCCATCCAGCAAGTGCCACGCTGCATCCTTTACCTGTGGCCACCGGCCCCTCCAGGCCCTTAACGTGAGCAAGTCTTCCCCATCTTCCCCCACCCCCGGAGATCTATGTGTTCTTTTAAACGTTTCAGTTTTCACTTTAAAATCTCAGTCACAGTTTGTGCGGGGTTCCTGGTTTCTTAACAAGTTCCCCCACTTCCCTGAAGGAACACTTAAGGAAGATTTGGCAGTGGCTGTTTTCTAAAAGACTTCTTAATTCCTCCTTGGAATAGCAGATGTGGTTTTGATGTTTGGAGACCTCCCTCACCCCGTCCCAGCAGCATGTGGACATACTTTTCTTAGTTGTGCTAGCATCTAATGTGATGCTACAAGCAAGGCATGGTGCTAAGGAGCCTACATCATCACTGCCTTTAGTTTCCCCCATAACCCTGTGACGTGGGTATTACTGTGATATCCATCATAGCGGTGAAGAAGCTATGGCTTAAAGAGGTTAAGCAATTTGCTCAAAGTCACACAGCTAGAAAAGAGCAGAGCCTCAAACTCCTGGGCTTCACTTTGATTGTTAGAGAAATACAAATCATAACCACAATCAGATACCATACTGTCAGAATGGCTATTATTAAAAAGTCAAAAAATAACAAATGCTGGTGAGGTTGTAGAAGGAATGCTTATACATTGCCAGTAGGAATACAAATTAGTTCAACCATTGTAGAAAGTAGTTTCGTGATTTCTCAAAGAACTTAAAACAGAACTACCATTCAACCCAGAAATCCCATTACTGGTTATATACCCAAAGGAATATAAATGGTTCTGCCATAAAGACATACGCACAGGTATGTTCACTGCGGCACTACTCACAATAGCATAGATATGTAATCAATCTAAATGGTCATCAACAGTAGACTGGATAAATAAAATGTGGTACATACACACCATGGACTACTACACAGCCCTAAAAAAGAACAAGACCATGTCCTTCGCAGCAAGGATGTGAAGGAGCTGGAACAAGACCATGTCCTTTACAGCAAGGATGGACGGAGCTGGGGGTCATTTTCATAAGCAAACTAATGCAGGAACAGATAACCAAATACCACATGTTCTAACTTTTAAGTGGGATCTAAACACTGAGTACACATGGACACAAAAAAGAAATCAACAGACACCAGGGCCTATTTGAGGATGGGAGGAGAGTGAGGATTGAAATATTACCTATTGGGCAGTATGCTTATTCCTGTGTGATGAGATAATTTACACACCAAACCCCTGTAACACACAATTTACCTACATAACAAATTTGCACATTTGTCCCTGAATCTAAATGAAAAGTTTTAAAAGACGAAGAATAATAATCAGAAAATTAAATATTTTAAAAAATATATTTAAAGTAAAACTGTGATGTGTTGTGTTAAATGAAATAAAATGTTTAGGCCAGGTGCAGTGGCTCATGCCTGCAATCCTAGCACTTTGGGAGGCCGAGGCGGGTGGATCACGAGGTCAAGAGATCGAGACCATCCTGGTCAACATGGTGAAACCCCGTCTCTACTAAAAAGACAAAAAATTAGCTGGGCATGGTGGTGCGTGCCTGTAATCCCAACTGCTCGGGAGGCTGAGGCAGGAGAATTGCCTGAACCCAGGAGGCGGAGGTTGCAACGAGCCGAGATTGCGCCATTGCACTCCAGCCTGGGTAACATGAGTGAAACTCCGTCTCAAAAAAAAAAAAATATATATATATATATATATATATAAATTAGCTGTGCGTGGTGGTGCACGCCTATAATTCCAGCTACTCAGGAGACTGAGGCATGAGAATCACTTCAATCCAAGAGGTGGAGGTTGCAGTGACCTGAGATCATGCCACTACACTCCAGCCTGGGCAACAGAGTGAGACAGTTTCAAAAATCAATAAACATTTAAAAATTTAAATGAAATAAAATGTTGAAAAACAAACAAACAACAACCAAAAATCCTCCTGGGCTTCAATAATCCTCCTGCCTCAGCCTCCCAAGTAGCTAGGACTACAGGCACACAGCATGACACTCACCTAGTTTTTTGGATTTTTTAAAAATTTATTATTTATAGAGACAGGGTCTCCAACTCCTAGGTTCAAGTGATCTTTCCACCTTGGCTTCCCAAAGTGCTGGATTATACGTGTGAGCCACTGTGCCAGCCCCAAATAGTCACAAAACTTCTTGGCACTCATAGGAAGTGCCAAGCTATTTGTTACCATCTCAAGGGGCACACAGCCAAGTGAACAACACAGGATCAAGAGGCAGATGCTCTCATAAGACAGAAACACGAGGGATTCTGGGAACCCACAAGAGGACACTGAAACCAGCCTGGAGAAGCCCAGTTCCCCTAGGAGGAGGCAGTGGCTGTGCTGAGTTCCATGAGTTAGAGTGTGATGAGTTGGCTGAGTGTGATGAGTTCGAGTTAGTGAGGTGACAGGAGAGTGCAGCCTTCTAGGCAGAAGGGACAGTGGGGACAGAGGCGGGAGGTGAGTCCTTTCAGCATCAAACAGCTCTGTTGCTGCAGCAGAAAGGGAAAAGCCAGGAGTGAAGCAAGTGAGGCTGGAGAGGTGGACGCGGCACTGCTCCAGGGCGCAGAGTGCTGAGCTGAGGTCAAGATTAGCAGCACTGAAGAGTGTGGGTGCCCCGGGGATCCCCCAGGGCCTGAGAGCAGGGGGAGCACAGGAGGCTGTTATACCCACCAGGTGAGAAGTTACGGGGCCGTGGAAAAGCAGATGGGGAAGAGAGGACTGACGGCAGAAACATCTGAAAATTGTGCCTGAGCAGAGTGTGAGGGAGGAGGAAGAGCTGAGGCTGACTGCAGTTTCCAGCAATTTCAGTGGTTAGCTGAACGGCATCACCCAGCCCTCATACGTGAGGCCTCCTGTGTGCCAGGTGTCACCAGGAACTGCAGAGCATGAGGAGAGCAAACAAGTCTTGCTCTCCTGGGCTGCTCTGGGGGTGGGGATGGGGACAACGAGAAGGAAAAAATGAGCATCACTGAGCCAGAGACTCAGAGGTGGCTTCAGGTTGGGGAGTTGAAGAAGGTGAAAGGCCCATGGTGCCCCAGGGGAGTTAGAGCTCTGGGTCTGTAGCCTGGAGCTCAGCCCCTGACATCAGCCACTCATCCATGGGGGCCTAGCTCAGAAAGGTTCAAGAAATTGAAAAGTCAGAGGCTGTGGCAAGAATGCTGATGTCTCACGGAAAAGAGGAGAGGGAAGAGCTTTCCACGGGCTCCGTGCAAGCTGGAACTGGAGAGTGGAGCAGGATGGAGGGCATCTTGTCTTTCTGTGTTCTCTCTCTCTGCTTCCCTTTCTTTCTTCATCTTGCAAACGGCCCTGCCTGGCCTCCACCCTCCATTCTACCAGTGTCAAGAGACTACTAGCAATGGTCCTGGTTGCCGTTCCCATACTCAGGGTGAATCTGATGGTGCAGCTCTTCCTTTTGAAGCAGGCCTCAAGTCTCTGGTCCCAGTCCTGGCTGTCATCCGGGGCCAACGGGGCCAGGTGACAAGGTCCCACTCAGCAGACGTTTGCTTGAGCTGACTGTCCCACCGGGTTGCTAGGACCAAATTGTGCTACCTCTGTTTCACAAATGAGGAAGCAAAGAAGTTAAGGGACTCGTCCAAAGTCTCAAATTAAGTAATGTCTCTTTCAAAACTAGGACTCAAAAATGAAGTTTCCCGACTCCAATTTCCTGTGCTTTAACATAGCCCTTAGTTCAGGCTTTCCCAGGGCTCCAGCTGGACAGAGCTTTACCCCAGCAAACCCTTTGGTGGCCGCCTCCCTGGGCACTTCCTGTAACTGCAGCCCCCTCCCTCCAGGCTGGGGACAGCTCAATATCTCCATTTTGCCTGCCCCGTCTGCCCCTTTCCTCACTGGCTCCAGCCTCTTTAATTACCTCTTCCCTAAATCCTCTGTAGTTTATTGATGGAGACTTGGCAAATCCCGGAGTCTCTAGACAAACAAAAATCAATCAGAAATGTATGCAGAGTGAATTCAAAACGGGAATTCACCGCCTTTTCCAAGAACAAAACTGAAAAAGAAAAAAAAAAAAAAAACCCAACACTTAAAACCATCAATAGGAATCTTGGGCCTCTGGAAGCTCAGCACTGTTTCCTCCTCTCCAAAACCTGGGTACAATTTAACCCCTTGTGGCTTTGCAACATCCACACAGGGCTCATTCATATTTCGATTCAAATTCATTGGGTTTTATAAATTTCCTTATTATATTCCTGTGACGTAGAGTAAACAAAAAATAACTTTCTAAAGACCCACGTAATTGAAGATCAAAGAGCCCAAGAAAGTCAGTTTTGGAAGTGGCAGAGGTAGGATACTTTTATTCCGACCCTGCTTTCATACAGAGGTTGGTGATTCTGAGAACCAGCGTGCTTGTCCACGTCACGCTGCAGTTCAGGGGCTCATGGTCCATGCACCTCCTTTTTGCGGCCTGAGTGTCCCGGGCCCTT